AAGCTAATCTCAGGCACCAGCCTGCGCTCTTCTCTCTTCAAAGACCGCCGCATATTTTCCTCAGCTCTGCATAGTCCTGATATTGTAGGTAAAGGGAAACATGTCCATTTAGTCAGCCACTTATTCCAGTTATTTATTCAATTTTCATTTCAATACTCCTTCCCCTTTCATTTCCAAATGAAGGAGTCTTTTGGGGCTTCTTTTATATGTGAGGAGATTTCTATGGATACCCTTGCGCTATCTAACCTCGCTCCCAATATCTCTCCAAGGGCACTAGGGTCACTTAGCCCCTCTTACATCTTTATCACAATGTCCCAGCAGACAGCAATGGAGCATTTTCAGCTCATGAATCCTCCCTGTAGGATAATCTACCCAAGTCCAATATAGTTGCCTGAGCAAAAATGCATTTTTTACTAGTTCTTTCATTTAGTTACACAGTAATAACATGCCTCCCAGCTGTGTCTGAATTCAAAATAAGTGGCCTTTAATGTACTTAGCAGCACTGCTTTAGAAGGGCCTAGGAAGAGCTTTGCAGAGGAATTTGTTTCCTGAGAAGACAATGGGGAGCGAGAAAATTTTTGTTTTTCTGACTAGAGCTCCTTATTCAGAGGTCTTCACAGGGCTTTTCTGGCAAACAAAAATATTCAGCTATTGGCCACTTTTTTTCCTCTGGGGGCACTCAGGGTGTTACCAGGAAACACCCTGAGCACATTTCCTAAAGCACAAGATTTGGGTAGAGTTTCTGCATTCCAGGTAGCCTTGCTTGGTGCTGGGCCTTGCTGCTCTAGCTGCTCTTGCCACCTTTTGACAAGGACATCACAGGCTGCACACTCCCTCCTCTCCCCAAAGAGGCACGGACTATTTAACCTTACAGTTGTGACTGTTTTCCACAAGGAACACAGAGAATTCATTAGTAATCACACATCAGAGAGTGCATCCACCTCTCCCTTGGCAACTGTATAATTACACAATCCTTTCCTATCAAAGAAACTTTTCCCTCGAGCTTCCACGCAACGAACCCCAGTGCCTTCGCTTCCCTTCACCTCCCATAAAGAGAGGGGAAACTCTGGAAAAACAGTCGGAAACTCTGGAAAAACAGTCGTGTCTCGGGTTGCTCTGCTTTCCTTTAAACAACCAAACACGGGAGTCGTGTGGAGAAATGATCATCTGCTCCTGAAACTGCAGCAAGCAGAATTCAACAGGAATGTTCCAGTCAGCGAGTGACAAACACGCGGCGACGGGCACAAGCGGGAGCAGCGCCCACCAGCAGCGGCAGCGGCACCACCAGCAGCAATTCTCTCCTTCTATATTGCTGCTGCTCTCCCTTTTCTAATTCCTCACCGGCATTTGCTATTAGTCCCCACACAGTAAGCACCGCGCTGCAAATTCTGACAAAATAAACTGCTGGAATGATTATTCATCCCGTGGAGAGATTGCTCTGCGAGCCGAGAGCTACACGTTCTGCATTCTGTGACTAAGATACAGTCCCATGTGTTTTCCCAGTTCAATCAAGTGTGCGAAGAACTGTCACAATAGTCCTTGATGCCAGGAAAATAAAATTTAGGGTAGAACAGTAAACCTGAGTTGCATTTTAATGGGTTTTCGTTTGCACCTGTTTTCTCTGCTCTTTGTTTATTTTATCCTTTTTTAATCTTTATTGACAATTCATTAAAGTCTTATCATCCCTCTCAACAGCAAAAGAAAAGGGAGTTGCTGTTGTACCTATCTGGATAATTGCTACTGAAATGTTGTCAAATTCTTAGAAGTGGCTATATATCTTTCACGTCAGGCCACTGGGATTGATACAAAAACGTTTCCAGGCTTGTGCAGATTTTTTCTTGTCTTTAGAAGAAGACATAAAAAGAACAAATAAGTCAAAATGATAAATTATGACAGGGAAAAAAAAAAGTCAACATTTGAATTGCCTGATAATAGCAAGAGCGTAGGGTTTGAGGGAAGATTAGAGCAGCATCAGGAAAGAACAGACCTGAAAGTTACTTAAGACTGATAGAAACCCTCTAGGATCTGCAATCCCACCATTGTTTCCCCCTGGAAAAGCAGTTTTCAGAAGCTCCAATTAACCTTAATTGAATTCTGCCTTCGCAATACCTAGAATTTTAATTGACTGGGAAGGTGATCATAAATCTCTGCTCAAAATGCCACTTGGCCATTAGCAATTCCCAGAATGGCACAGCCAAGTGTCACAGAGAAGCACTCAGCTATTCTGTAGGCAAGGCTGGCTTCAGAGCATAAAACAAACATCCCGAATGGAAAATCCCAGCAGCAAAAGCAGCTCCTATGAAGAGTCCCTGTCTCCAGAGCTGACGGCTGTGGACACTAACAGCTCTAGTGTCCACCATGCTCGGGTGTGTAGCCTCCCCAGCACCCTCCAGGCTGCTCGTTCCCTTCCTCGCGTGCTCCTGTCCTTACTTCTGCTTCCAGCACTGACGTTTGAGCGTTTAGCCTCTGCTTCAGACCTAATCATGTCCTTGCTTCCCCTGTGCGGCCCCGCATTACTTGAGTGCTTGGTTATCGCATCCTTCTTGTGCGCTTTCTGCTCGGAATACTTTCAATCCAGCTGGTAACTTATTCCAGGGTATGGTGTTTACAAGTAGATCTCTGCAATGTTCGTGCACTCAAGCTCTTGAGTTTCAGTGACTTTCCAGTGCCTGAGTTCCTTAGGCTTCTTTTCAAATCCTGTCCTCAGTGCCCTTGCATCGATCCAAGTTCTGGTCTTAGAGAGATCTCCCCAACTCCGATATCCACAAGATGCCTCCTGGCTGAGCCATGCAGCTCGCACATGCCACAAGGAGTTATTTCACTGTTGTGAGATCCACGTTTCTGACCACAGAGGGACAGAAGAGCCATCCCCATGTAGCTCCTATGTGGCCACACTGTCACAGCCAAACACAAGCCCATTTGCAGGGGGCCACCAGCTCAATCTCACTACCACTACCACAGCCCACACACGCCTACAGATTTAAATGAAGACCTGTCATTAAAAGTAGCAGTTCAGTTCACAAATAAATGCACTTGTAATAACTAAAATATAATACTTGTCCCATAGGGTGCACCTCCTGATGGCACTGCCACAGCACTGAACAATGGAGATTACTACAGTCACCCCAATTTATGAATGAGGAAACTGAGGCAGGAAGGGGTTCGTCCTGTGTCACTTCCTAGGGCAGCAAGCAAGCCGAACCCAGAGCCAAGTGCTGAGCAATGCAGCACAGGTCGGGCAGGAGCCACATGGCCTCCCACACCCTGGGGGAGCTGCTCAGTAAGGAATAATTAACCTTGCAACTGCTTGCTGGGCTGCACTTTCCCTCTCGGGAAAGATTAGGGGAGGTTCAAGACGGCCACGGGGGAGAAGAGCCCCCTCTCTTCAAAAGATTGGTTCTGAGATTGAATCAGTGGCAAGATCTTCATGTCAAAGGTGCATATAAAGTAGTCTAGTGTATACTGTGGTTGGGAGTGCAGGTTTAACAGTCTATATAGGAGATGGCTGTATAAAACTGGGCATTATAGCAAAAGCCTAATGCATTTTGGAAACGACCAGATGAATTACAGTCTGCATCTAGCGCATGTGCCAAACTGACAGGTTGGAAAGTGACCATAATGGCGTAAGCAGAGGTGGAGAGTGACATTCATGACAGCTACTTTGGTGTGACACTGAGCACTTGGCCCCAGAGTGTCCGCAACTTTACTACACATTGATTTGATAGTATTTTTCCACTTGTCTAAAGCCTGGCAGTCTCGCAAGGAGCTGCCTTCCCTCCAGATGCCAGCATGGGAAGGAGGAGACCTCTCCCACCTGCTGGGTCCTCGAGCAGCCCTCATCCCTTGCCTATATTACATCCCCGCACACAGCAGATATTCCCTTGCCTATATTATATCCCTGCATGCAACAGGTATTCCCTTGCCCATATTATACGCCGAGCCTCAGGGAGCTGCAGCAGAGCTGAAGGTCAGCACAGCAGCTCAGTACCCACTTGCACCGCTGGACCACTCTGCCCCCGCACCTGCTGACTGCAAGTTCAAGCCTCAGCGGGAGCTCCAGCTTCAGAGAAATAACCTCCATCGCCAATTTCTCCTTAGCATTTACATGTGCTTTTGCCTATCCCAAAGCCAGGGAACTGGAAGGGATATTATTTTAGATACTCCTCTGGAAAACTGATGGACTAAATTGGGAAATGATGGTCATCAAGCATTTCTGTAGCCCCCAAATTCCGTTCCTTTAATGGAGGAGTTTTGGGTTTTTTTTTTCCTTTGTAGCATACCACGAAGGTCTTTTATAAAATACACGCAGCATCTTTGGTACCATGGACAGCCTATTTCTCTGGCAGTAAAGTACCCACTCTGTCATCAGGCTCGGAGCTGAAATGAATCCAGAAACACAGTCAGCTTAATAACTCCCTGCTCTGGCAGAATAAATCCCTGCTCACTTGGTGGCAACCGGGTCCACACAGGGCTCATTCTGCCCCAGCCCCTCCTCGCGTGCTGCCGTTTATGCACTCGTGGGTGTTCCATGCCCAGCTCCAAAGCTCGCAGGATGGAGGCAACGCATCCTCAGCGGAGAAAAGTGACAGTGAGAGGACAACAAGGAAGCCAATCCATCACTTAATGCAGAGCATTAAGTGCTGCAGCCAGAGCATCACGCCAGGATTGATTACAAACGACATGACACCTCCCTGTGAGCTGTCTGCTATATTATTATTCATTCTGGGGTCCCCCCCATTCATCCTGAGGTCCATGATGCTGCAGAGGAGGGATCGCACCTCGGGCATGCCGCAGATACCCCTTGGTACCCCCTGCTATGGTACCGTGTCCCTTCCTCACCAGCACGTGAGCTTTGTCTCACCCAACACAGTTTCATAAACAAAACTAGGGAACTGGGAAATGCCACAAGACGAGGAGACGGGCAAAGAGCTTTGTTGATATTAAGGGGCTATTTCTACGAAGGACATGCTAAAAATGCAGTTACTCTTCGCTAGGGGGACATGAAGGCGGAAGCAGCTGGGCCAGGCTCCTTCTTGCGCCCAAGTACCCAGCCACGTCCTGGCAAGCACCAGAAAAGCACCAGCACAGTGCTGCATAGCTGTTATTTATCGGCCGTCTCTATCGTCACCTCCACCACTCGCAAGGTAACGAGCAGGTCCAGGAGTGCCCTGGGCATTTGTGGCAACTGCAGTCCATTACCTCCCACACACGGCACCATCCAGGGGTCCTTGAGCCTCTGCTTTGTACTTCCCTTGATGCTGGTGTCTTTTATCCCTCCTTCTCCAAACAGAATACATAAAAATCTTCAAGATGTGTTTGATTTTGGACGTGTCCAAAAAAAGAGAAAAATCCTCAAACTTTCCACATCCTTCATAAAGCAAATAATAATGGTCCCGTTTTAAGGAAAAGGAGGCTGAATGATAGCAAACAAATCAGAGGCCACTAGCGCCGAAGAGGCTGCCCCATACTCGGCAGAAAAGCTAAGGGAATGACCCAGATTTTCAGCTCCTGAAGCCTGGGCCCCTCCCCACCTTCCCCTGTCCCCAGGGAGGCCTCACGCATGCAGGACAGCAGCTCTGAAAATGCTTGGGTTTGCTTGCTAATGCTGGGAGCAGATTACAAAGCAGAAACAAAAGTAGGAGTTTCCTTCTGCTCTTCATCTGCTCTATTTTTCCCCCTTCTCTTCCCTAGCAGAGAAACAGTCACTAACCCATACAAACCCAGCAAACATGAAGATTATCAGGCAATTTTCCATCTCCAGCCAAAATGCTGAATTTCCTTTTGATTATAAATTCCAAATACAGCGAGCATCGTGCAGGTTCTTTTGGATGGTTTATAACAGGCAATTGCTGTTTTCCAGTTGCCTCTGCTGCCTTCCTCCCTATACATGATTCTCAGTCAAGGCCTTTCTGGGCATGCCTCGCACAAGCACTAACTGATATTCACCCAATTCAGCACCGCTCCTTCCAATCCTCCTTTGGTTTAATAGAACCCCATAGTAAGTGGCGAGAAAGACTTTTTTTAAAGTTGTCGTGGGGTTTCCTGTGTCCTCAGTTTCATTTTACCGTGCACGGGAATCCTGTTATTGAAAGATGAGGAGTAAAAATCCAGTGCTGGCTCCCAGTGCATGTCCCACCGCTCTCGGCCACGGTCCCTACTGAAATCAAGGGGGCAAGAGAGGTGAGCTCAGGCCCATCATGGCTCTTCAAAACGCTACGGTAAGGCCAGGGTAAGGCCTTTCACTCCTCTCCACCAGTGAAAACAGAGAAAGAAGATTGGGAGTTTCAATATAAAGGGGTTTTCGGAGTTGGGCTGCTGTTGGGCAGATGGTTTTCTCTGCTGGGTCACCTGGAAAATGTTACATCTGGTAAGATGAAGGCAGATCTGGCACAGGCATCGTGTTTCTGCGCTCCGGTGCCCGCCAGGCTGAAAAGAAGCAATATCCCCGGTGTAGCAAAGCGCAGCTCTCTTCCAAGCTACAGTCTTTAAGGAAGAAACTCTGTAATTTAGAGGACATCTGTGATGCTAAATCCCCCAGCAGAATGTAAATAGTGGTAGCAAAAGGCAGCCATGCCTTGTTATCAGCTCTGCCTAAAGCGCCGTTTATTAGTGCCATAACTAGCTTGCTGAAGCCTCCTTGGATTTGATTAAAAACCTGGAAGAATAAGAGGAGGAAAAAATGGCACCGTGCCATGCAAGGAATGTTTATTTTTTACAGATAAGGCAACACAGACATGGGGGCTAATGCAGCCAACGGAAAATGCCCACTGCGCCCGGCCTTATTGCTTCATATTCTCTTCATCCTGACAGCTTAATTAGAGGGTTAATTAAAAATCTCCACAACACAGATGAGGAAAGATTTTTTTGAAAGGACCCAAGAAAAGAGGTGAAAATTGTTGTGCTGTTGCGGCCAGAGGGCTTTTCTGCTATTCGCTCTCATCTGCAGTCGCAGCCACTTGAGAAAGAGCATTAAAGTACAGTCGGTGCCACCACCTGCACTTTGTGGACAGGAGAAGAGAACAACCAGGACGACGAGCTGCTCTCAAGCCAGCTGCACACCCGGCTAACCCCTGGCTGCCAAGGAGGACAGGCCAAAGGGAGAGCTTGCCCACATCCTCACTCTCCTGTCTTGGAAAGGGGCTTTGGAGGGGGTTCGCATTTTACCAAGCAGCACTGAATGTCTCTTGCAAACTGCAGGGAGATAGGGATGGGGCAAACCTTCCTACTTGGAAGTAATTGAAAATATGTTTTTCAGTCACTTAGCCACCCTTCTCCAAATAGCATTTTTTTTTCTTTTTTTACTAATTTAATCATCCATTTCTCTGGCTTCTGAAATTCTCTGTAGAGAGAGTGACATCTAGCGAAGCAAAGCTGAACTTCTCTGAGCGCTGAGCTGTACCTGCAGGCGACAAGATGGAGATTTTCCAATTTACAAATACGGGTCACTCATAAGCACAGCCAAACCCCCACCAGCAAGAATTCCCTCATTCAGCAAGCAACCAAGCCCGTCTACCTCAGGGGGAGCTGCTGTAGGGCATAGATGCAATCTGCTGGAGGATTTATGGCCCTTTTTAACGAAGGTCTCCAGGACGCTGGGGGCTGCGCTAGCGGCCCGGCTGGGTGCAGAGGCCGCAAAAGGCCGGCTCAGGCTCATGCACTGAATGCTGCAGAAGTCCTTCGCATTTTGAACCCGCACTGCTCTCAGCTAACTGACACTGGATTTGCTTCTACGCAGGCAAACTCCAAAGTCCGGGCTGGCAAGTGATGTGCAACAAAACATACACACAAGGCAGCACGCGGGGAGAAACAATAACCAGCAGAGCATATCTGCAGAGGAGGGCAGCTCTCAAGCTGATGGTGTCCCTTTAACACAGCCCCAGGCCGTGTTTCCTTCCCAGTCAAATCCCACTGTTTCCAAGGCAAGGAAAACTGGGCATAGCCCAGCTTTCCCAAGCATGGATGGCTGTCCAACACCTCATTCAGTCACAGTGACAACATGCCAAGGAGTCTCTCAGGAGGAAAGGAGTCACTGCAACCCCCAATGACAAAAAAGTGCAGCTGGCCTTCCCTGGACACAGCAGCAGAGGCTGCACAGTGCGGCAGGTCTGGGGACAGCACGAGGCCAGCAGTGCAGCCCACAGCAGCCATGTGGGCTCTGGGTCAGTGGCCGTGCCCATGGTTGCCGTGCGGAACGGGGATTTGGTGTCCTCCCAAGTGGGAGCTTTCCACTCCCCAGGAGCCGGCTCAGCAGAGGGGAAATAGCTTTAACCCAGAGCAAAGTTCAAGCTGCTTCCTCAAGGCGCACTAGGTGAAGGGTGCCTCGCAAAGCAGGCTCCTGCTCTCGCCTGAGGACAAGCCAGTCAAACCTGCCCCTGGCCTCTTCCATCTCTTCACAGAAATCCACCAATCACCCCAAAATACCTGCACTACCCTGTGCCACTCTTCCTTCCCTCTCCTTGTCAGCGAGGGGATGTGCAGTCAGGTCCTATAGAAAGGCCAATGCTGAGACGTCACGTCAACATCTCTTCTTGGCTTTAAAGCTCCAGACAGACCTTTAAATGGTCTCTGGCAGCATTTCTTTCACATTGCCAATAGGCAAGATGATAAAAATACTATAATTTCAATGTTTTTGACCCCTGGAAGCATCTCACTACCTGCGGTTGGCTCTATCAGCAAAATACATCATAGCTGTCTCAAGCATCTCCTGGCTGTACACACAAGACGGAGGTGGATCCTGTCCCTGTTGGCTTGGAAAGCTTAGGTCTTGAAGCTACCAGCTGCAGAGACACACCAAAACCAGGGAGTTAAAACACACACCAAAACAGGCTCAGACAAAGTCTCACACAAAGCAGTGCAGGGATTTCCCCGAAGAGGCAGGATGCTTTCACAGAGCAGGAATCGTTCCCCGACTTTGCCTTTCTTTATAAATTCTCTTCCAGACTTAGAGTGAATGAGACACTATTGCTGAGAAAGCACATAAATCCCTTAACATTCCTGAGAGATAAAGAGGCAAAATTAGAATTTCTTTCAGAGAAAGAAATGAGAAGATAATGAATTCAGAAAAGCTCGCTGATCTCTGGGAAAAAAATGACAGCAGTTTCACCCAAACTCAAGAGCGTACGCACAAAGGAATGAATGTTTTGGTGAAAATAAATCAGGAGGAAAGCTGCTGGCTGGAGTCTGAGGAAGTAACTCAAGAAGGAAGAAACTGGGAGTGACTGAGGACCTTTTCCTGCATCATAAATCTGTCCTGGAACTACAAAATCTATCTACAATTAAGTTCATTTTGACGCATTGCAAATCAGCAGCTTTCAGAAGAGTCTGCAGTTCAATAAATAGTGCTCTTCAGTAACTAGCACACATTGCAGGGTGCAAATTTCATTTTAAGCACAGTGCAGGTGACAATTTCCCCTGGGCGAGCGCCGAGGAGGATGCCGGGGAGGCAGTCCCACGGCACAGGCCGCTGCTGGCGCTTGCCCAATGCGCACCCCAAGCCGCCCCGGCTGCGCACGCCCGCCGGCAGCTGCTCCAGGCTCACACTTGGCTCCCAGCGGCGTTGTCTGAGCCCCTCTGCAGTCACACATTGACCAGTGGGAGCTGCTGATTCGTGCTGAAATGCCAAGGGGCCCTGAGACCAGGGAAATAAAGCATGCAGAAGTCGCATTTACACCCTTTTACCCAAGGACTGCAGTGCTGGGCCAAGGATTTTTCAGCACGTCCCTTTCAAAGGCAACAGTTTGTCATTTCCCACCACTTCTCAAGCAACCAGCAACATAGTGTAGCACACAAATATTCTGCCTGTGGTTTGCAGAGCAGCTTCCTAAAGCTATCCAGGTAGGAAAGCTTTGAGACAGCTGGAAAACTGCTGGGTCTGGTCAAATAAGATTTTAAAAAGGAGGCCGGATGATCACAAGTACTACCACGGGCAGCCAGGGAGGTGCTGGAGAGCCCAGGGGGTCCCCAGCTCTTGAACCTCGATCTTAATCCTGCTAATGAGCAACACAACTCAAGCAAGCAACACACATGACGAGACACCCCAGCTGTGGCACGTTCTTCTACTGCCCCTCAGCAACAACACCAAGGTAACGTTTTATTGCAAAACAACCCATAACTGGTCAGAAAACCCAAGAGCTAAAGCTGTCTG